TCAACTAACATTACTTTTCACAAAGATCTTCAACAAATCACTGGAATTTTGCTCTGTTCACATACGCTTCAAAACCTCAATCATTATTTCAGTCCCCAAAAAAATTAACATTACTAGACTTAATTACTACAAGCCAGTAGCCATGATCTCTGTAGTCATGAAGGTCTTTTAACGTCTGGTGTTAGCCCACCTGAAGGCCATTACAAACTCTCTGCTGGATCCCCTGCAGGTAGCGTACAGAGCTAACAGGCAGGTCTGTTGATGATGCAACATGGGCCTGCAGGTCACACTACAGCATCCCAACATTCCCAGAACCTATGCTAAAGTTCTGTTTGTGTTCTTCAGCTCTGCTCTCAATGCCATTGTGTCAGAGCAGCTAGTAAAACTGCCCCAGTTGTCTCTGCCAGATCCCATCTGCTGGTGGATTGTGGATTTCCTGACAAACAGGAGGCAGAAGGTACAGCTTGGAAAACACACAACAGACCCCTAGACCCTCAGTACTGGAGTTCCACAAGGTTGCATGCTCACAATTTTTAATGAGCTACAAGGTTCAGCACTCGATGGCCTTGCTCTATGAGTTTGTGTGGTCTACCACTTTGTGGCTGAGCTGTTGTTGCTTGTAGACACTTCCTTTTCACAATAATAGCACTTACTTTTGACCAGGGCAGATCTAGCAGAAATTTCACAAGCTGACTTGTGGCAAAGGTGACATCCTATGACAGAAGCATTTTTAAAGTCACCAAGCTCTTCAGTATGACCCATTCTACTGCAAGTGTTTGTCTATGAAGAGTGTGTGGCTATGTGCTTGATTGTATAAACCTGTTAACAATGTATGTGGCTGCAACACCTAAATACCACAATTAAGAGGGGTATCCACATACTTCTGGCCAGATAGTGTATGTTTTCTGCTGAAAACCGGATAGCTTGCTCATAAAGTCAGTTTTGACTGGAAATGAAATAAATGATAGGTGGTCTATGATTGGTCGTAGAGGTCAGTGTTCTTCAGAGTACACTCATGTGTTAACTGCCAGGTTTAGTAGGGTAACTACCAAACTGTGCTGGACACTGGCCCTCCAGGACCAGAGCTGTGCACACCTGCATTAGAACAAATCCAAATGTACACTAAAAATGTGATCATTTAAAGAGAAAAGGTGGCCATGTGACAGGTCATTAGTGCCTTGAAGCACTTGCTGCCCCATGTAAGACTCATTTGAGACATGAAAACAGACAGATACTGATGAATATCTAGCTGAATTAGAGAGTTATTATTAGAGATATCTAGCTGAATTAGAGAGTAAGCTGCTTCTGAGGAAGAGCATTTTTCACACATACTAACAAGAGATGACATGGTTAATATGGCATCGCATGCTAAATGGCTGCCTGAAGGACAGTCAGCCAGGAGACATGGCTGTGTGGTGTGCTCACCTCCCTCATTGTCCAGACTCACTTTGGCAAATGACTTGTAAAATAGCCAAAACAGAGTCTGCCTCCCTCCTTCAAGATTCATGATAGTAATAACTGACTGCCAGCAGCTAAGCTTCCAGGAACTTCTCCCGTTCCTCCTGACGCAGGCAAACATAACTCCTCTTGCAAAAATTGTGCAAGAACACAGAACGTTTAAGACTCTATTGTCGTAAATGAACAAAGTGGGGTAAAGTGATGAGTGCAAAGAAAAAGGAGAGGAACTGTCACAGATCCAGTTTGGGGGTATAAAGTTGTTCTGCCATCAGAAGCTTTCAGTGGCTTTTTTTTCTAAAACTGTTGCCGTAGAGGGTATAGTGGGCAGGACACAAACTATTCAGAGTGAAGGTTTATAAAAGACCATCTGCTGTACTGTCATTTTCATTCACAAGCTACCAGTAGGCTAATCTTAAAAAGCGCTCTCTAGCTCTATGGGAGAGGGAGAGGGAGACAGAGAGAGAGAAAGAGAGGGGGAGTAGGAGAAAAACAGAACCAGAGAGAGAAAGCAAAATCAGGGTCAGGCACTTTGTGACAGGCCAACATTAACGCCCACTCCCCCTTCTCTTTTCTGCCCTTGTGACCCCAGTTGCAAGCCAGCTTTTGAATGGCCGCCTCCGTAACTGCAGCCTCTCAATGATGCAAGCCAGGACAGCAGCTTTGCACTCAGAACTCATCTCACATATCCGCTTTGGAGGCTCCCTGCATCCTGTCTCAAGCACCAGTCAGAAAGTCCTCTACTCAATTCGTAAAGCTGTAATAAAGGACAAACTGGGGTTTATGACTTTGTTAGACTACAGAGGGGCTTTTTTTGTGTCTGTGTTATACATGAAGCTTGCATTCCGGAAGACTATCTGAATAACCTCCCTACTCTCGCCACCTTTTATCATTCATGTCAGACTGTTTATTTCTAATGAAAAAAGGCTGCTAGATTAAATGTCAAAGACTGTAATGGATGACAGCTGAATGCACACTGTGAGTTTAGACAAATTGTTCTAACGGACCTGCACATACAAAGAGACACTCTTCCACCAAAGGAAACATTAAAGAGCAGCATGCATTTGGACAAAGACAGCTACTACCTGGGTGACTTTGATTTCTTAAAAGTCCTTACAGTGATTACAATAATTCTTTAAAAGCATAACACTTTGTCCATGTTGATGGAATGTACAGGCTGGAATATTAAATGTTCATCTATTTAATTACTTACTAGCCCTCAATGAAGTCTATCAACTTGGAACAAACGGGAAAAACACCATTATGCCCTACAAATAGCAAGCAAATACAACCTCAATCATTTGTAGTTTTAACACTGTTTTTCAAGGCGCAGCCATTAAGAGCTGGAGGTAAGGAAAGAACGTCTGGTAGTGCATTAATTTCAACTCGTTAGTAGCTAAAATGAGCGGCACAATGTTTCTGCCCCTGAACATGATCAAGAGTGCTGTGTGGGCTGTATGAGGGCGTGTGTATGTGGGTGTGTGGGTGTGTGTGATGTGTGTGCTTCAACATCAAGACACAGCAGGAACTTGGCTTACAGTGCAGTCCGAAAATAATTTGGCTGGCGCAGTAGATATGAAATGAAACTATAGCACTATTTGGATGGGATTAGTTTTAAATGGTGAGGTGGCGTAATCTAATTTTGCTACAGGATGTTTGTAATGTTTATGGATGATTTGCGTGGTAGAAGAAAAATTTGGCATGAATTACAGAGATGGCTGCTCAATTTCCGCACTGCTATCACACAAAAAAAGTTCTACATGCCCAAACGTGTCCAAACATTTCATTCAGTCATAATTTTATTTAACCTAAACATCAACCAAGCTGCCTTAGGTATTTTCCCAAGCTGTCATTAGCTTGAGATTTATTAGACTAGAGAGTTCACAGACAACCTTTTTTATTTTATAAGTTTAAACACTTGGAGTGCTACACTTGAAGTAGGACAATCCATATCAGCTTGATTTAGGCCACAAAGAACACAAGTAAATGCTTCTTTGAGTGCCTCCATACTTCAGAAAAAATATGAAAACACCTTTTCCACAGGATATGATGTAATGTTACCTAACATGGCAATTCACAAAGTATTAATACAACCTCGGATAATTTCTACAATTTACTTTACAGTAGGATCTGAACTCTTTACTGATGCCAGAGTGTGCAGTCCACAAAAAAGGGACAGCGGATTCAGACGGCGATCATTGCAAAAATACCGGTTTTAATTACATTACCCCACCTCCCCATGGAGAAATAGTGTTAATAACAAAGTTAAAGTGTAGAATGTAAACTTTGAGGGTGTCCAATTTGAGGTTGTATTCATATCTGTGTTGGGGAACCATATAAGCATATGTGCCCTTTAATGCAATGAAGCTCATTTCAAAGGGCTGTAATAATTTGAAAAAAATAACATAAACCTTAAATACAATTTTCACGTTTATTAAATTCTTGCAATTACTGACCTAAGTCTATAACTCGCAGACATCCAACTATGCTGGGTTTTCTTCTCTGGTGATGCTCAGCCAAGCCTGTAATGCAGTCATGTTCAGTTCGTGCTCATTTCAGGAGATGTTTGCCTTTGGTCTTGCCTTCAATAAGTGAAATGTACACTCAGTAGGGTTCAGGTCAGGTGATTGACTTCACCAGTCAAGAACACTCCACTTTTTGGCCCTAAAAAACTCAATAGCTGCTATGAATAGTAATATGCTCTGGGTCATTCTTCTGCTGCAAGGTAAACTGCCATCCAAGTTTTGAGATATATGGTTGGATTTGAGTATTTAAGATGCCCCTCTGCAGAGGATTCATCTTCTTACTATCAATAGAGACAGTGTAACAGATCTAATGGCAGCCATACATAAACGCTTCTCCACACTTTGCTCATCCTATCACCCTGGTACAGTTTAATCTTTAAGCTTTCTTTCTATTAGATGTTGACCGAGAAGTTATGTAAGGAAATGTATAGAATGGTATTAAAGTCCTTTATAAATCCCTCAGTACAAAATACATGTCTTTGAATTAAAGCATTCTGCATCACTGTTTCTTTTCAAATCCTGATGTGCTAGAGTGTAAAGCCAAATTAACAAAAATTGTGTCACCGCCTAATTACTTACAGACTTCACTATGCATGGGTTTGGAGCTGCAATGACGGCTTGCCTGTTGATTGCCCTAAAAGTATCATGTAGAACCTAATTAGCTTTGTAATCACAGTGTTGGGTATGATTTAGCAGCTGAACATGTCGCAAGGCGACACTAAAGTTACCATGGAAACAGCAACATCACACAGTATGCATTCAATTCACTAGCAAAATTAAACTCTGATTTGCTGGCGCTTTTATGGCTAAATGCCGTGTGACTGGCATGACGGTGGCTTATTACTGCATTCTCGTCATGTGTTGTGAGCACAACTTGGAAGAAAATGAAGAAAGTGCATTCACAGTGCTTGAATAACGCACAGCTGAGAGATCTTGTATGCATCCCTCAGTTTTTGCCCTCCTAAAGAGAAAGGAAGTGTGAGGCTGGGAGATGCATGTATGTGTGCACATGTGCCCCACCTGTCCAAAGATATGCAGCACAGGTGCAGGATAGAGGCAGTGGTCAGCAGCACGTCCAGCGAGGTGCGGACCAGACAGAAGGTCTCCCCGTAGATCCAGTTCTGATGGATCAGCTCAATGGCCCCAAATGGCATCACCAGCACTGACACCAGCAGGTCAGCAAAGGCCAGCGATACTATGAAGTAATTGGTCTTAATTTTTCTAAAGAAACAAAAAGTAAATGTTATTGTTATGTATTTTTTTTTTATTATCATGGCTTCAGAGGTCAAAGAAAAATGAAATATAACAATATACAGTACTGTGCAAAAGTCAGAAACCACCTGTCATTTCTTTAATTTCCAGTCAAAACGGTCAAGTTATTTATTGACAAGCATCAGAAAGATCAGAAAGAAGCTGAAAACATATATTATATATGTTACAAATATATATAAACATATAAACAGTAAATTACACACAAGTCTCAAAAAATGAATAAAATACAAAAATATTTTTTTCAGTATTTAGTGTGTACACTCTCCTTTATTACAGCTTCCATTCTTTTCAGGATGTTTGCTTTCATATTTTCAAAGAAATCTGCAGGAACATTTTTCACACCTCTATAGTTCAGTCTTGTTGCATTTTCTGTTTCTCACAATCAAGTAAAACACATTCAGTGGACTCTGGGGTGGTCAGTCGATTGTACAGCTTCTTTGTTTGATTTTCTTCTTTTGTGTCTATTTTCTTTTCTCAGTAACCACAGTGGAAGGATTGACAAAAACACCTGTGGATTATTTCAGATCTGAATCAAGAGTGAAGCTTGATTTTCTCCTCTCTCTTTAAGTCCTGTTCATCTGAAGGCGACAGTGTTGGTGGTTTACCAGGTATTGCATGGTTGTTAGGGGTCCCGTTTCTTATTAGATTCTTTTTTTAACTCCAGTTTTGGAAACCTTTTTTTCACTTATGTTCCTTTGACTTTCCACTTGTACTTAATGGCTGTTTTGACTGAAATTAAATAAACAAAGGAAGGTCTCTCATTTTTATATTCTATATAGATAAATAAGCACAGAATAAAACAATTAAAACATCAAGTAAAGTCAGTCCTAACTAATATAAAGTACTGAACTAATTTAAAATATATATTAATGTAAATGACATAACAGTAGACAGTCAATCATCTAAGTCAACAATGGAGCAAATGAAAAAATCAGAAAATGAATTAATGAAAATGAACTCACATATTGGACTAATAGAGCTGTATTGATATAGCGGAAATATCAGGTTGACAGACTGAGTGAAATCAGTGCCCTTTATGTGAAAAAATTCATATCCTTCTGCAAAACTCTTCATATTTGAATGAATAAATGAAATGTGGTCTGCAGAATGAAGGTATGAAATAAAGGTATGTGCATGCATGCGTGTGTGTGTGGTAATCTCCTGATAGGATGTCATACCAAGTTCCACAGTGCCTGAAAAAGATCAGACCCTCTGGCACTCCATTAATGACTAATAAAACTGGTTGAGCCAACGGCCTGCGAGAGGCACTGAAAACACAGTGCTATATATAGCCAACCGAGAACCTATAAACGGATTCAAATCACTCTATCATGTATGCCAAAACATGGCATCAAAAATGTGCTCCAGCTGTCTGCTAACAATACACATCTGTGGAAGAATAAAGACTTAGGCAGTGCTGGCTTTTTTTAGCACGGCACATCTGATGTCAATTTGACATCAGATAATTATGCCATCAGACTATATGTCAGTGTTTACAAAATCCTTTAGACACATCATTAAAGCATTATGGTGCCAGATGACCCTGTGACCCTGACACAGATGCATTCTGATTAGAGACTTTTCAGTATTATCAACGTCTCAGTGATACATAGCTTGACAGGTCACATACTGAACACATACTGAAGTAAATCTTGCTGGAATATAATATGGTTATAGATTCCTTTCAATATGATTTCGACATTATTTGAACCAAAGTGTCCCAGTAGACACAGAGCCAGTCAATATTTTTGTTCTGTTCCTGTTTCCAATACACCTCAACACACCTGAGCCAAGTGAATAAAAGCCTGCACAATGCAGACAGGCTGATGGGCCTTAAGGACTGTGTTTATTTATTTTTATACAGTTTAAAACTATCAGCCACCCTTTACATTGTGTGACCATGTAGAAGGAACCTTAAAAATACAGAGATTTTTGGAGGTGAGAAATGTTTTTTTTTCAGTCAAACCAGAAGGAAGACAGATAGCTAACATTTCTGTTAGGAAGCTGATTATCTTACTACAACCATATAATCACATGGTGATCTTAAAATCATCATTACAATGGACAGAATGACTCATCAGGAGGACAACAAGTTAAAGGTTAAAGTTAGCAAAGCAGTTATCTAACCTCAGTTTGGCTTATTTTCTCTGACAAAAAACTGGGATCTTTACAGTTCTGTTCAATGACCAAGGTGAAAGTGATGCTAGCGTAGTTGTATTTATTCTCCCACAGATCAGTAGCTAGACTAATGACTAGTATTCCCAACTGCTGTATTTGCAAAATACATGCTGGGTATTGTAGTAGGAAAATACTGATTACCAAAAACAATAAAACAACATAAAATCATACATTCTGTCAAGTCAAAGAGGCTGAGGGTATTGTCATTGAGACGCTGAGGCTGAGGGTATATGATGTTGTGCTGCAGAACTGCACAACACAACAAATAACATATTGAAATATTCTTTTAGGCTGGAATGCCCCTTTAAGAAATGTTTTTCTCTTCCCATGAAGTTACAATTCTGGAGGTTTTGTCATTACAGTGGTGATATGTCAGAGTTAAAATATAAAAAAATCTTTATTTGACAATATAAAAATGGTAAAATTACTTAACAAAAAGCAGCTAACCTACTGGAGATCAAAAGAGCATGTGACAGGCTGAAGTATACTAGTCACTCACCACGTTACTGCAACTGCATGTGCAAAAACGTAAACTGTTTATGTAGTAGTGCTAACTGCCTAACTACCCTGAACATTTACAGTACTGAACAGTGAGCTGCCTTTCTAACACATCTAGTTCATGAAAGGCTTGATATTTAGCTGGTGACTTAAATTAGGAAAATTAAATTGCGCACAGTACTGTGGCCCTAAAGTTGGGTATTAAGCACTTTATTATCCTACACTTTTCTTGTATTTTATTTTTCCCTCGAGGTCCACTTATGGTTATTGTATGGTTTTGTGTAACAAATTCATTTTTCACATGACCATTTCCAACCATTCTTTATCCTTTAGAATTTGTGTTACTGTGCCTTTAAGACAGATATAAGACAAACAATCTCTGTTCTGATCGACTGCCATGTATCGTGCCACACTCAAAAACACTCAGAGCTGAAACATTCCTAAGAACTTAAATATGAATGGGCAGGGCTAAACTGCTGTAGGCTAAATAGGTGGATATATGTAAATGATTTGGTTCTCGTGACAATAAAAAAAACAATGAATTCAAAACGAGTTGGACCATACAGACTGGGTAGTGAATGGTATGTTTTAAACCTCAAACAATCTTTACATATTACTTCAAACTCCTTTGTTTCAAAAAAGAAGGAAATTTCTTTTTCATTATATGGGCCCTTTAAAATTACTGCAAACTTTTCAGCATTGAGGTTCATTATGATCTGGATTTGCAGTGACTTTCTAAAAACGTTGGCTAATTCCTCTCCTTGGAAGAAATTTAAACACACCTTGAAGATAACTCGCCTTACTGCAATTAAAAGGCAATGCACTTATTTTATGCGTGGCAGACATGATAAAACATTTACGCATGTTGACTTTAATGTGGTGCTGGACACGGTGAGCAGGATGTTCAAAGTGATTGAAAGCCCCTTTATAGCAGGACAGAAAAAGGGCACATCATCATAAATCATGAGAAAGTACACGAAAAGGAGAGCAGAATGTGTTGGAGGATGATGTGTGGTTTATCTCATTCTGACATACATTTTCAACAGATACGACATGCAATTCCACTTTCTGACTGGAGGAGTCTGAGAAATGGGGACCAGTGAGGGTAACGGCGCTCTGAAAGCCACTTCTGGGACTGCCATTTACTGCGAAGAGCTGAGGGCTGAGAAACCAACAAATTCTCTTAGTGTTGCTATCTGTCTACTGAATAAGAAACTGAGGTTCTTCATTTTAGGGGAGCAAAAAACAGCAGAACATGTGTAGACCCATTTACTAAATCCACAGAGAGCACACAGAGGTGATCTTTAGCAGCAACCATGTGACTGACCAGTCATCCACATGGTGATCGTCCCCTCACAGAGCTTAAGGATGTACACAGTTTGGACAATGTCCCATTATGTGAGATGGTGACATAAGATTTGGAGAGGGCTTTAAGGGTCTTATCCCTAAAGTACTGATGGGGAAAATGGGTTTATGGTGGTGGAAAGTTATCCTATAATCATTTAAAGCTCTTGTGCTCTAAAAAACAATGTCAGCACACACGCTACTGTATTTTTGTTGATCATGTACTCAAAGCATCTAATCCCGAGTGATTCCATTCAGGCAGCTGCTTTCATTCAAGCAAAAAAGTGCTGCTGCATATTTCTCACTTCACAGTAGCCCTCTGGAGGAGTTATTAACTAGCTGCTAATCAAACACTGATATGAAATAAAAAGAGGCTGCACTTCAAAGTTTAACAACTGCAAAAGCAATCAGAAGATTTTTTACTGGTGTCTAAAACACACATCCACAACCCCAGAATTTAGTGCACAAAGAAAAATATGTGATGACTACTGCTTGGCTCCAACTTTTTAGGTGTACCTTATGTATATCCATGATGTAAGCAGGGCCTTGTTGTATATGTGCGTATGTGAGGCCCTGTGCACACCTGATATGTGAAAATGTGAAAAGTCTAGTTCATCTTATTCATGTAATATGTGCACTGAAGTGAATGTACCTGCAGTGAATTAAGTGCTATGCAAATAAAGAGTTTAAAGAAATGGCTTGACGAAAACCAAAGCGCTCATTTTGAAGAAATGGTTCAGCATTTTATTTCATTTTCCACTTCCCTCAGATGTAGTAGATGAGCTGAGAAATGGTGTCCAAATTTAGCTTCTTTAGTTTAGTGCTGGAGCTACAAGGTTGGCGCTGCTAGTAAACACGAACTCAATAGTCACCAAAATCCATAAACACATCCTAAAAACTTCGCCCACTCAAACTGTGTCCAGGTCTTCATTAAGGTTTTGAAGATTTGGTGATGTGATTCAGGACACAGTATGCACAACCTTAATGAAGATGTGGTTGCAGTTTGAGTGGGCTAAGAGACGTTTTGGGGACATATTTACAGATTAAATTTGGGTGACTACTGACTTTTAGTGTTTATTAGAAACAGGTGCCTCACTGCTCCAGGTCTAAAGTAAAGAAGCAAAATTTGGACATCATAGCTGATCATAGATGAACACAGCTGATCAACTACATCTGGGGTAAGTGAAACATTATGTAATTTTTTTGCTAAACCATTCTTTTAAAATTAGTGCTTGTCTGAGAAATGAATAGACAAGCTTATCTTTGCTGTTGTACAATAACCTCCAAAATGGTAACTTTACAGAAGAAAGAAAAACACTTTCTACCTCTCTGTCTTTAATGTTATGAGACTTCATTACAAGTAATTTTGGACCATTTCTATCGCTCTATTCATAGTGAAACATCAACAATATACGTAAAGGGCAGCTAGTGCTTTCAAATAGTTTCAAGTTATGAAGTTCTGATTTGACAGTAATGATGAAAGCACTGGCGAGCGAGGGGGGCAGAGGGAGGGAGAGAGAGAGAGAGAGGGAAACAGAGAGAGGTGTGACTCTGACCTGAGCTGCCGGTCCTTGCAGACGGCCACCATAACCAGCAGGTTTCCCAGGACGCTCATGAGCATGACCAGCGACAGGAAGCTGATGAGAGCAACCCTCTTTGCCATGCCGTTGCTGTGGTAACAGAGAGATGGTAAGGACTTATTCTACAGCAATCAATAGTATGGCACAGACTAATGAGTGATTAGAACAACTGTTGTCATAAGCTGACTGACATTTCATGGCTCAGCAGAAATATCAACCATGAAACAGCAAATATACATGTGCCATTATTACAATACAAATTGTAAAAAAATTGCTTAACTTAAAATTAAATTAAAAATTCTACATGTAGTCATAGACAACATACGTATTTCTGGGCCTGCTAAATGTTAAACGTCGAAATTATAAAAGAATTCCATTACATGGATTCCCATGGTAACATCTCTGTGTGGGCACCAGCCAAGAATAGAAGCACGGAGAACACACAGCACAGCCAGAAAAGCAGGCTAATTTCTTTCATGGATTTTACCTCAATGTAGGTGAGACACATCTCTCCTACACATACAGCGCACCCCCTTTTTGAGTGTTTGACAACTGTAATGATTTACAATAATGCCTGGAACGTTTACATTTCCTTCTCCGTTAAGATAAAGAACCTCCAGTGCAGTCTGGATTCTTGTACAGTCTAGTTAGAGACCTTCATTTATTTCATTTCCAGTCATTAGGTAAGTTATCATTTTTCATATTTCTGAGGAGATTAGATGTAAGATAATTTGCTTGCATAAGGTACGGGAAAGTCAAATGAAAATAAGTGAGAAAAACAGGAGTTTTCCAAACTGGAACTGATTAAAATTATTAAAAGATATACACAAAATGGGACAACTAACATCAGCGCAAAACCTGGTAGCCTCATCAGATAAACAGTACTCCAATCTTTGAGAGAAAAAATCAAGATCCACTCTTGCTTAAGATCTGAAAAAATCCACAAGTGTTTCTGTCCATCCTTTCACTGTGAGAAGACAACTTAGCACTATGGGTCTGAAAGGATGTGTAGCTGTCAAGAAGTTACTGAGAAAAGGAAACAGACAAAAAGAAGAAAAAACACAAATCAAACAAGAAAGCCGCTGATTTCCTCAGACAAATGGACTGACCACCCCGGCATTCAGTCCGCAATATCATTGAATGTATTTAGGAATACATGAATCGTGAGAAGCAGAAAATGTTACCAACTTCTAAGACTGAACTTAGGAGGTGTGGAACATGTCATTGCAGATTTCTTTGAAAAACTGAAAGCAAACGTGAAGCTGTATTAAAAGCACTGAAAAGATTTATATTAGTTGTTGAGGCTTAGTTGTTGAGGCTTCTGTGTAATTTCTGCTAAATATATGTTTTCTATATGTTAGAGTATGTTATGTTAGAGTATGTCAATGGTGCGCAAGTTACAATACTTCAGAGCCGTTTTACAGCATCAACCCACAAGACAGCGCAGTCTCAATGCTAAATTCAAAGAAATACATATTTAATAGTGCCACTACTAAGCTGTTGTTATACGTCAAATTGACTGACTGAAGTACTGAAATATTTGTCACACAACATCTAAATATCAAAGAACTTGTAATCATTCGCACCTATTGAGTTTTCTTTGATCACCAGCACGAATATACGTAGCATAAACCTGAGCTTGCTGACTGTGGACAGGCAGAATACTCCTATCAAAGATAATGAGGATGCAGCCTGACTCTGTTGGCACACAACTGACAAATACAGCAAAAACTGCACTTGACCAAACAGAACAGGAAACCACAGACTCTGCCCACAATGCTGTTACTAATATGACTGCATCTGTAAAACATTTCTTTCTTCAACACTGTACACAACTAACCCATGAGAACCATTTGAGGGTACCAAAATTATACACTATTTCGTCACAAATCAAACCTATTGACTTAACTCGCTATTTTCTCATTGCGATGTGTTTGAAACAAAAAGCCCAATTAAAAGTTTGAGTAAACTAAGTCTTTTCTTTCACATTCCACTCCACTCTGACAGTGGCTGCAACTACAACAAGAGGCAGAGGACTCCCAGAGAGACGGGACCGATGCCTGAGGACAGCTCCGTCCACAGCAAGCACAGTCATGTGTGTGTGATGACTGGTGAAACCTTTGACCTCGAGTGTGTAATTGAACTGAGGGTGCTATCAGCCCGCAACAGCTCAATCAAAGCTCTAAGTGAGCTGCCCTCAGGTCAGCTAGTACACCAGCTCCGCTGTTGAATGTGCCGCAAAACAGCTCAGCTCCAGACAGCGGGCTGGAAGGAACACTCATTTCTCATTTTAATCAATTAGCAGCTTTTCTGTCAGTCATGTCAGGTTCACAGCAAAAGCAAAGAGCTGCATGCTTAAAATGTACAAGAGCAGTTTCTTGAATACAATGAATATGTTGGAGGAGAGAAAATTTCCTGGGAAAACAAGTGAGCACTTCTGATTAAAATGAATTCTTCATTTCATACAAATGAGGAACAAGAACGACATAATGACCAATGTAAATAATGTTTATTTTTTATTGAAAAAGGCTCCATTTGCATATTCAGTTTATTCTAAGGAACACTGAGCACAGTGTTTTCTAACAGCTCGTACTGTCTATTTATATAATAAGCACGCCAAGAAAACAACTGCTGTCAGAGGATGAAAATTGAATTAGTTGTTCATCTCAGAAAGGAGTGTCTCAGACAGTGATTATGATGCTTTCCTCTCCCAGGTCTCAGCATTTGAACCAACTATAGCCGTCTGAGGCCAAGAGAAACAGACAAAATCCTTTAGATTCTTAGTCTCATCAGTTAACATACACTAGTGGTCAAAAGTTTGGAATTAGGTGTCATAATAATAATTGATGTTATTTTGTTCAATAATAGTTCACACAGTGTAGACTGGAATACTACAAGCTAGACACAAAAATGTATTTCATAATGTTTTATTCAATACTTTTTTGGGAACATCAAAAAGTTCTTAAGTGCTAAATGATATACTGTAATTTCTTGATAGGTTCCTTGAGATTTGATCACCACATTTCAAATACAAGGCTTTCTTAACATTAATTTTATTACAACAAAATTTTATAATAACTAATTATAACATTTACAGGGTTTTTATGTATTAAAAACAGTTATAAATACTTTTTATCCATTTCCAAACCTGTTTTAATCCTTAGAATTAAACAGGCTGTTTTTGTTACTGTGCCTTTAGGGCTGATATACGTAAATGATCTCATTTCTGACTAAATGCACTTTTTTGCGCCTTATTCAGAAAGCAGCCTGGACTAAAACACTCCTTATAACTTCAGTATGAATGGGCACAGCTACATTGCTGTAGACTGAACAGATGGATGTATGTTAACACACTGGTTATTGGGATATCACAAAATCAGTGAATTAACACAGGCTGTTTTGTGACCTATGTAACATAAGGACTGCATAGAATAAAGAGTGAACATAACATTTTGAAACTTTAACTTTGTTTATATCTATTACATCAAACACTTACATTAAAAAAACCAAGGAATCATCTGTTCATCATTCTGGACACATCTCAATTTCTTCTTTTTTCTTGTTAGGATAGAAGTTAACATATGACAATATAGTAACCTGTGCTGAAAAAATGAAAAAAAAATACTGTTGCATATTAGCAAAATAGTTTCACAAATAGATGTATAACTTGTTACAGACTCCTATGTATTAAGTATTATACGCCTTTATACATTTCCTAAATGGTAAGTTATTTTTTAAACGATTACTATTTCATACACTATAAAAATGCCAACAGCATTTTATTGCACTGACTTAACAGCCCCCAACTTTATACTCTGCTCTACCTGAAGACAAAATCATTTCATATCTCTGGCTATAGTTCACAGTAGCCTATGAACCAACAGTAAATAATCATACTGTGATATTAAAAGGTTCATAAAAAGTTTATGCATAGTTGAGAACTCTGTTCATAGCAAGGAGACTCACATCTGTAGCCAGTCAGATGCAGGCATGACTTGATCCTTTATTTAGAGTAATGTGGTCTACCTGTAACATGATGTCATGTAATTAGGGCCACAGTGAAAGTTGAGAGTAAACTAGGCCAAGACAGCCTATGACATTCTAGCCTTGCTTATTTTTCTTTTTCGATGCAATAAATGACTAAAAGGTTCGACTGCTTAGATTAGCTGAAAGGTAGGCACAGTACATGCTGTTCAGGCTTCTGTGAGTGACATGCTTATCATTAGTTCACATCACTAATTATCAGTCTTTAGACAGTAATTTAATATGAAAACCTGCAAGTAAAATAGATTCTTTCAATCTATAATTAAATGGTTAAGCTGTAAACAAAGTCATTCAGAAAGGTTTGTGGTAAAAATGCTCTGTTCTAGTGAAACGTACACAATCAGAATTGTTCAGAGTGGTGGTGATAGAAACCAGACATCTATACCTCACAGAAAAATATTACATGTCTTTAGGTTTTGGCCAAAAACATATATATTTTAAAAATATCCATGGTTGAGATGTACATGCACACAGCAAAAAAGCAAAAAAGTCCACAAAAAAAAATATTTTCATCATCACCTATCATCACCACTGTAAAGAAATACAAGTCAAGAAGTTACTCTACAATAAACCATTTCAAAACAAACCATTCTGAATGATGCTGCTAACATATCAACCACTTTGAAAAATCTGCAGAATTCCCCTTTAATTAATGTCCATATATATAGACCTGAAAAGTAGGACAATACATAAACGAACAAATAAATAAAAGTTCCCCTCATGGCCAAACTGTACTAGTCAGCAGTACCTGTAGTGGTTTGAGGTTTTATGTTTCACGTTCACAATGCAGATAAGGAAACTAGAGAGCAAGCTAATAATTTAACACTGAATATACTGAATTACATGGTGAGGTGGTTTGTCTAACCTGGCAAGCTGCCCTAGACAGCTTTGGCATGTTACTGCGATCATCCTTGCCATAATTCAATTGTTAGCCACTTAAGGTGAGAGGAAACTTGACCTCAATTACTCCAAAACCATCATAGTGTTTAGCTGTTGACTGAACTGAGGTCCTTTATTATCAGTAATTTTGTTCTATTAAAATTTGC